TCTTCCACGTCGGGAACTAGTAAAACAATAGCAAGTGTTTTTTTGTTTTTTTTCGGAATTGCTCGGCAACGTTTACAGCACTGTATACTTGTGGGATATCTCAGCAGCAAAAACACAAGCATCGAGTTCCGCCCCAGCACGTCACATCACAACACAATACAAAGTGCCCTTCGTTTGTCCAGCACTTAAAAGAAATATTTATTTTTCTAAGAATACATGCTCCAAAAGCCACTTTTGCGGCCCCAAAACACTGTCTTGGCTGCTCCAAAGGCCACATTTGCTGCTCCAAAACAGTGTTTTGGCTGCTCCAAAAGGTGCTCCAAAATGGCTTAGGCCAATCACATCACTGGATTTATATAAACGGTTCCATAAGCTTTTCTTTTTATGTCAAGTCTCTAGTTTAGTTATTACTTTTACATAGGTCTGATTTGTGTGATGGTGCAGTGAATGGAGTAAATTAAAACTATATTATCTGGAGCATTAATGATTTATAATGCTTTGGCCCTAAGGGTACAATAAGTAGATAAAGAAATCTTTACGAGTTTGACTGGATTGTTCCTAAGGCTTATTTATCATTCACATGGCAACTTTTGTTATCATGAAGTTCTACATATGAAATGTCATGTTAGTAATCAATAGACCAAAGCTTTATTTTTATCAGTTTGGGTGCTGAGTATTATTCTTTTTTAAAATTATTTCCGTGAATTATGATTTGTTTACCTTCGGCTCCGTGCAAAAATAACCATCCACAGCAGTTCATATTGTCCTTCATCATTAAGCATATTGTTGTCATGCCTAGTGCTTCTACATGCAACTAAACAGCTAGTTAGTTTTCCATTGAGCGGATCAAACCTGCCGTGCAATTGATGTTAACAAAGGTTGCACAGAAGTGGAAAGGGAAAGTAGACATTGTCTTTTATGAACGGGCCAGCACATGAATTTTAACATAATGTTCACAGCTGTGGCAATTAAAATGAAGCGTGTGCTCATGCTGCAATAGTTATTTTTTCTGCTCCAAAAGTGATTTTAGCTGCCCTAAAAGGTTCTCCAAAATGATTCAGACGAATCACATCACTGAGCAGTGAACAATTGGTTACTCTGTCTCAAACCAGCATTAGGCTGTCAGATTGGGTCGGTCCTTGGAGTATGACGGACTGATTTGTTCCCTTTATTGCCTTTTTTAGAACAGTGTTATGTGTGGGCAGGGATGGGCAAAATACATGCAAATATGTATCGAAATACAAATACAAAATACTTTGTCAAAAGTGTATTTAAGTACAAATCTAATTACATTTCCAAAAAAAGCATTTCAATACAAGATACAAATACAACCAAATGTATTTGGTCTCCTCCAAATACTTTTCCAAATACATTCCTCAAAATTTGCGTCAACGACTTCAGGGCACCTGCAACAAGTTTCTGGGTATCTCATTTTAATTTTGCATCGCACACTGGGGAGTTAGTGTGCGAGGCTCTAGTAACATAATAGAAATATAATCACAAAAAAATGTAATCAGCTTGGACGTATTAGGTGAAAAAAGTACAGAGCTTCAAGCAGCTTTTTTTTGTCGATTATACATTTTGGTATACACCAACAAAGAACCTAGACGACCAAGACGCGCACCACCAGCTAGATAATTTTTTATTGTTGCAACTCGCACCAGTTACGAAAATCTGGACGACCCGCGCATTTAGGATGTTCCAGGCAAAAATATGGATGGAAATCAGGCCGGAAAGCATCACAAGTTGTCACATGCACTTATTTAGCCAGTCTGCCTGTGAACGTCGATTTCGTCACTATTCTTGCCCTGGACTAGCACCGTAATCACAAAGTCACTAAATGCTTGTGCTTGATTGAGAGACACTGCATTTGGTGCAGAACATAGTTTTCTTCCTGCTCTGGACAGTGATAATAAATTTGAGGGATGTATTTTCGCCCACAAAATTGTATCTAATTACAATTGTATTTGAAATATTCACATTTTAGTATTTAAATGCACACGTCAAATACAGTACCCAATTTGTAATTAAATACAAATGCAAAATACACAAAGTATTTGAAATACTGCTCATCCCTGTGTGTGGGATACATGTGACTATTGCACATTGAATAGGGGTGTGCGAATAGTGGTTCGAATTGAATAGCGCTGTGTCATTTATAGCTTTGAAAGCGCTAGGGGAGACCAAGACCTACCGGTTCTCGTTGTAGTGTAGATGTTGGGAATGACACTGCGCTATTCGATTCGAACCACTATTCGCACACCCCTAACATTGAATGTAAACACAAACTGCTAGTACCCTAGTAACATTTACTTTTTTGCTTTGTGCATTGGAAATGTAGTCCTTTGGTTTGTTTCATGCATAGGGTATTACAGGCACGTAGCCAGGATTTTGTTTCGGGGGGGGGTGCCCATGACAAAATGCTGTATGAGGGGGAGGGGGGAGAGGAGGCCCAGCAAAATTGAAAATTTCGGGGGGGGGGGGGGCATGCTCCCCCCCCCCCCCCCCTCCCCGGCTACGTGCCTGGATATGATGCTTTATTTATGCGAAGGGAAAATTGCAATTTCTACTTGTTTTTGTATTTTAGTAACAGCTACTGTAATTACTTATACTTGTTTTTTTTTTTTTTGCTTCATGCACGTGCAGTGGTAGTTATATGGTTTGTTGTTGCGTAGTGTAGTTTATTTATACAATGTGCAAATGGCGATTTCTAGGTTTCTAAGGTTTTGAAAAAAATGTGTCTTCATGAAATTGTAATGCAAAAATGTAATCTGTAATTTTCCTGCTATCCTGGGTGGAAACGTTTATCGCGAAATCTAGCGGAATGAAAGTCCATTAAATTTAGCAAAGTTTGTCATGACTCCTGAGCTCAGTAGAGCTCATAAATCAACGCCCAGTGCAGCTCAAATCACACTGTTAATTTTATGTGTCCCAACTTTATTCTACCCCTATAACTAAAATACATTATTTTTTTTTTTCTGATATGACATTTTTTAAAGTACAAACATGGTCTTACATGACTGCAAAGTTTATAACCGCCTCAGTTGTCAAAACTGCCTTCAGCTCTCAACTAGCGAGATGTAAGGACTATACGCAAGAGACCCTGCATTTTCTGTTTGTTCTTTTAATGGCCTATCATTTGGGACTGGCAGTTTGTTGCGACGTGGGACGAAGCAAAAGACAAAAGGCATCTGCCCTTCTAGGACGTCCTTGAGCATCCTTCGGGGTTTTGTACACTCGATGACTGGAATTAGCCTCAGCAGGTGGTGGTTGTGTTTGCTAGCTTGTCTTCGGTGACCTTGGGAGAGGGGTGTAAGGGCGGCGGTCTAACCACTACCCTGGGGACACCAGCCCGGCCGCCGACCGATTGAGTTGGCGCAAGCGTTGGGAAGCAATATGGGTCAGTGTTACTGGTGGCGACCCTCAATGTTTTGTTGTTTGTTTTTTTCGCTGTTCAGATGTTCTTGTCAAACTGCCTTCCCGTTTAAGAAATGGCGGAGATAAATACTGTGATTGCTGGTTTGTGGCGCCAACAGGCTACGTTAGAATCGTCGCTGTCGGAATGAGCCGCCACAGACTTGTATTGCTTCTTTTATTTTGGATACAACCTTGTCATACATTAAGAATACGAGTTTTCACTATGTGAAAAAAATACTCTACCGTTTTGAGCGCTGTTAGTGTTATATTTGTTGTAAATGCAATAAGAAAAAAAAAACGGAGGCCGTCGAAGGTTGGGTGGTTTTGGTCGAGAGTATGAGTGTCACTTTATGGGCGTTGGATGATGGATTGCAACTGCTGCACTTTGATGCGGCTTTGCTTTCTGGAGCGTTGGCTGAAAGTGTGTGAGAAGTGCAAAGCAATTAATCCATGCTGTCTTTCTCATTCCTTGGCAATTGTGGGTGGGTTCTGTGCTCTTTCATTTGCTGCTAGGAAATGTTTGATTGATGGTTGTTTATTCTGCGAATGTAAGAGTCGCTGTGTTGGCAGGCTCTTGATGCGTGCGGGTTGGTATTCCACCTGCCACTAGGACCCTGCTGGATCTGGCATCTCTTCGTTGATACTGTTGCGTGTTTCTTCACGTGCCGTCATACATTTTCCTTCTTGCGAGTACTTGGAAGGTTTTCATTGTCAAGAGTGAGTTAAAGACTAGTCCCACTCATCTTTGTCGGAAAGCGTACTTTGTGATCGTCATATCGAATGATTTAAAGTGGGGCATCTGAGACAACAATATTTTGTGGCCATCAAATCTGATGATCTGAACTAGAACACGCGAGACCTACCATAACACCCCGAGCAATGCCCCACCCCCGAAAGGTAAACAGCCTCTATTTTTGGCTCGTTTTGCTTTTTCTTCTTTATAGACAACCTCGACGTAAAGGTGGTTAGTTAGCTATTGCGGGATATTAGCAAACATTGCTGACTGGGAAGCAGCTATCTTTGATTCACTGCCTCGCCACGATAACAAGTTTGGCAGGGACAGATAATCTAAAAATAGCATTTTCTCAAATTTTCTCGATTGCACTCTGAAAATTAGCCCACTCCTTATTTTCGCCCAGTTTGCTCTCCATTTTAGGTGGGCTATCTCTCGGGTTATTACGGTATGCTTTAGAGTGTCCTGTTGTGAGCCTAATTTTTTCTATCTTTATTTCTCCCTTTATTTCTTTCTTTAACAAAGATGAAAATGAGATGTTTTGTGTTTGTCCCCTTGTTCGTCCATCGTCTCCGTTTTTTTTTTTAATATATGTGACATCAACCAGCCTGCCAGTGGCTTACTCTTCCTTGAATCCCCTTACCTGATGCAGGCATTGTTCCGCGTTCGTCATTGTATCTCTCATGTCTTCCACCGTCGTCGGTGTTGGTGTTTGGCTTTTTATTACGACAATGTTGCGCAGAATTGTTTGAGGGTATAGATGACACCACCTCCTTTCTAGATTTTTGTGTGGTTGCTCGGCGAACAGAACGCCACCCGGTGGTGATCTCGTCTGCCCTTTTGTTCGCAGGGCGTACTCGCTGGTGGACTCCTCCCGCGTGTCCACCTTTCTCATCTCCATCCTGCTCATAGTCTACGGCAGCTTCAGGTAAGGAGGGTTCCCTTGGAGCAACTCCGGAAGAACCTGGGTGCGACCCCGGAACAACCTGGGTGTGACCGACGTGCGCTTATGCAGGTCGCTCAACATGGAGCGGGAGGCCAAGCTGAAGGAGAAAGAGCGGAATGGCCAGGGAGTGGACACCAGTCAGTGTTTGTCTCTTTTCCTTGCTCCCTTCCATGATTCTCCCATCCTTGTGTGGGAAGGCTTTGGCTATTAGGCAGTTTCAGAACGGTGCACGCTAAAGCTTTGCGTATGCAAATGAGGGTGTCGTCGCCAGTGCGCATGTGCCAAATGCTAACCACGTTTTGTGCTTTGCATGCGATATTTTAGCGTATGCTATTTTTCGGAAATTGCATACAATGCAAAGAGTCTGCACTCCTACGGGAAGTGCACTTCATATACTTGCTGCTTGCGATGCGCACACATTTTTCGGCGAAGGTACGGTGTGCGAAGGTCATTACATGAGAAGACACGACCGGTCGATTGCTCGCGTCACATTCTCATATTTAAACAAATCTGAAATGTTACTCTGGACCAAAACATTTTTACTGAAGTTACAGCACTTCACGAGTAAGATAAACTGTTACTGTTTCTTGGTGGCGTTGCAAGTGCGAGACGCTTAGGCTTTTGCATCTTGGCGGGAAAACGCTATTCTATAATTTTCTCGCACAGCATATGCCAAAGCAAGCGCTAAATTTAGTGCTAGCGTGCGCTAAAATTGCGTATGGTATTCTAAAACTAAGTAATATTCTAAAACTCCCTATTGATGGTCATTCGCGTGTCATGGAAGGCGTGCACAGAAGCAGTGGCGTCACAAGGGGGGGGGGGGGGGGGGCGGACTACCTTGGGTGCAGCGCTCAGGGGGGTGTCGCGACGGGCTACCGCCCCAGGTGCCGCTGACCCTCGTGACGCCACTGCACATAAGGATCATTTGGGACCGACCATCGTGAGGTTTGCTGGCCCTCGAGGGATACCAACAAGGCATCCTCCGAATAAGCAGTGATGTTTTACAGTACAGTGCTCAACCTGACGGATGTGCAGCCAATGGCTGACTGCACAGATTAAACTAAGGAAGGGGAATAGTTTGACTTTGCCATGCAAAGTGTTAGTTGCAAAGCACACGCAGAGTATGAAGGTCGGGAAGACAGGTAAAAGCAACAACAGTGTGAGCAAAGAAGAAAAATCCCTTAGTCTTGGAAAACTCGAAAGCATGTGTCGAGCCGCCGTGAGAGACCAGGAACACTAATCATTGCAGCAATGCTGACGTGAAACTAAATGTGCATTAGGTTTGTTTTGAGAAAAGCTGGGTTGTTGTTAGAGTAGCAGTGTGTTCGTTACGAAGGAATGCCGAGTTAGGCGGTTCGATGTACCGCACCCTTTTGTAACACTGGTGTAGACCATAACCATTGAGACTGTGCAGAAAAATGACTGCACAAAGCAACCCCCGCATTGCCGTCCGCCTTAGCTGAGCCTTGAACAGGATAAACTTTCGCTCGATTCATTCCCAGGCTGAGTAGCTGGAAACCGGCAGGCCTCTGTGTGTTTGTGACTGGAGTAGCAGCATTTTTCTGTGTGCATGACGCGCATACTAATTGGGATAAAGAATCCCGCCTTCTCCCCTCGTCTGGGCGGGGCTCGGCGGGTGTGCCGAATTCCAACGGACGCGCGTCCGTGCGGCCCGCCGGTGCAGCATGCTCTTAGACGTGGGTATTGCCTCGGCGGGTGATGCTCTTTGCATTAATTAGAAATAATTAGCGTACCTGCTTCGCGAGTGCACCTGTGAGTTAAGTGTATGTTGGCACATAATTTAAGTATCTTACTAGGATGTTGTTTTGCTTTTGTTTTTTTAGTTTCCAAATTTGCGTTTTTAAGATTGCTGTCGAAAGGTTTGGATGACAAATATAATAAATAATAATAGTATAATAACTTTTTTCCATCGATTATGATGGGTCAGTTTTTGTCAAGCTTTAAAACATACTGCTTGTGTGATGGGCTGGGTTTTATATTTACTCTGTGTTATGAGGAAGTTAGCATTTTTTGCGAGATGCACTGGTCTTCTTCTTTCTTTTTTTTTTTTTCAGATTCTTTATTTTAAATGTTACATAATTTTTGGTTTGCTATTTTTTATTTTGTAACAATAAATTAGTCAAACCAAAATTTTACATACTTCTATTCATGCAAACAACCACCGATTATTTTTAATCTCCTTATACCCCCAATTTGTTTCAATTGTTTCTTTGATTAGTTGAAGTGCAGATTGTAAGCCCGTGGTATGTCACAATCAACGAAACTGTTTGTCGTTTCCAAAACATGTTGGGTCAGCTGCTGCCTCCCTGCCAGCTCGTGAGATTTTTCAGACGGTTTCAGGCCTCCCGATAAGGCAAACGCAGGCTGATATTGCCCTTTGAAGCATGTGCTGATCGCGCTTATCGCGCACCTACTCAAGCTGATGCATATGCGCCTCGTGTTAATGCGTCGAGTCTCGCTACGCAACGTTTTGGGTCCGCATTCACTTGCTGCGTATTATGAGGATTTATTCCATGTTGATTTCCTTGTAGCTTCGTCAGAATTTGTTGAGAACGCCGACTGCGATGAAAAAGGGAGCCACTCGCGCCAGCTTTCCTCTCAAAATCTTGTTATTTTGAAAGATGGAACCAACTAGCTTGTTCCATTTCACTTGACTGATTTTCTGCCTAGTATAAATGGTCATGCCCAGTTCAAATGCTACAAGTCTATACTTATAGAGTTTGAGGTCTGTACTTTTTCATTTTTTAGTTGGGATAGGAACACTGAGAGGCATGATGTGGTGCTTCATTTTTCTTAATTAAACGTTTATGTCTAGAGAAGCTTTGAGCAACATTTTTTCACAAGCAATAGTTGAAAACTTTTTACAGCTGCATTTTTTCGAGATGTTTAGATGTATGACTGTAATAAGCAAAGCCCCCTTCTTCAGTTCTCATTAGAAGTAGGATAACATGGTTTTGTTGGTGCAAAGACCTCAATTTTTAACCGTTTTAGTTTAGACAACTGCATTTCGAGTGAATGAAATAATTATAAAAAGAAAAGAGCATTATTAACTGAAAATTAAGTTTCCATTGTGTTTAATCCCAATAATCAAAGAGTTGACAAGCTCGAAGCTTTTAAAAACCTGGAGTTTCTATCACCAAAATTGTTTTTTTCGTATATGTATGGCTCGTTTTTATCTTTGAAATTTCGAAGAGAAGAAATTCCAGCATTGGGTTCGTCCAAAGAAGCAGGAATTCAGTATGCGCATGTTTTAGTGGATACTTTGATTTTTGTTGTGTTTGCTGGAAATCTCTGGTCAGCCTTCTTGATTGTTAATTTGAGACACCTACCCAGACATTGGTTCAAACTTTCAGGAATTCAAATTTTTGTGAAAACTGGCATGTTCCTCCAAACACGATGGAATTGTTAAAAACAGCGTGTTGGTAAGGTTTAACTTATGCACAAAAGAATAAACAAATGTTGTGTTCTGTGCTCTCTGTTCTATTTGTTTATTTTCCTGCCTGTAAATTAAATTCCTCCAAACATAAATGTGTGTCGTTTCAAATTAAAAAAAAAAAAAAAATTATATATATATATATATATATATATATATATATATATATATATATATATATATAAAAATGTATTTACTAGTGTAATTCAACCTTGTTATTGAAAATAAACCGAAAAAACTTAAGCCGCTTTTTTTAGTTTAACAAGATGAAAGGTTGATTGACCTTTTGCTTCTAATTTCATTTTTTATTTCGGCAAAATGTAGCTGTCTCTTACCATAGATGAGCAGTGTTCTTTCTGTAGGCCCTTTTGATAACCACATGCTTATGCCTGGGAGGTCTGAAGCACTGCATTTGTTTATTTGTATTATCCATGCCTCGAAGCCATTTCAGGCAGGGATTGGGATTAGACGAAGGATTATGAAGGCCGCAAAACAGACTCAAACAGTCCGGGTGCCGTTTCTTTTTTAAATAACCGTGGTCAGTCGGAGTAGCAATGGATTCTGGAAGGCAGTCGTCCCAGGCATGGTCAAAACACATGGCGTATGAATGGTTCATAGTGTCTATCATGTAATGCTGCAGTTTTCATGTGCAGTGGTTGCATGGCTTACAGCCGTTCAGGTGATGAAGCAAAAATTATGTTGGGTCCTAGCATTCTATAGGTGGTTGGGCTCCGGATTCCCTACTGCCCTTGTCGTGTGTTTGTTTTGGGATATCGATCCCGGGCCCACTTGGGTTTTTACTGGTGTGGTGCAAAAATTAGAATTTTTAAATAGTTGTTTCTTATTATGTGCAACTCAATATTTGCTTCAATATGAACTGCAATATCCATACTCTTTGAAGTGTTGCTTCCCCGCAGTGCGTAGGTGCTCGGTGAGAAGCACACTCAACGGGACTAACTTTCCGCGATTACGCAAGAGTGTATATTAGCCAGCAATGTGCCGACAACCAGCGATCATCATTCGTGCTTGTATTTGCACATGCCTGCTTTTTTTCACCTCTGATTAGAGATTAATATATTTCCGGGCTTGCTTTCATTTGTGGTGGCTCTGACCTTGGTCATTGTGCCACTATTTCTGGCCTTTCAGTCGAGGTGCTAATTATGAAGGGATTGTGGCGTAGAGTTATTATAATGCGCGCTAGAGGTTCAGCTGGCAAAAGTGTGCAATTTCAAGTTGAAGCAGACAGCAACCAGTCGAAAATTGTCTTCCAGTAATGCATTCTTATGGGGGAAAGCGGGTGCATTATTTTTTTTTTCAGCGCTTCATTATAAGACTTAAGTTTTACGAATAATTTTTGCATACTAAATAGCTTGGAACATATCAGTCATGTAGACAAAAATATTAGACAGGTTCAGTATTTTTTATAAATTGTGGCATAATACACGTTGCTAAAATAGCTTCATACACGCCTTTATGTGCACTGTTGGACACAGCGTGAACATGGCATCTGTACTTCTTTCCATGGAGATTTACGTTCCAAACTAGGAAAGGGCGTCAGAAAAATCAAGAGAGACAGCAAGAACTGTGCAGTAGCACTGGATCAGTACCTCGCTGTGCACATAAACAATCAAAATAAACTCAAGGCCAAATAATTATAGTCTGATTTGCAATAGATATGTTTTGCTTTATTCTCTCTGCTCATGCATATGTGCAAAGATGCTTGTTCTTCCATTCAGTACATTTCGTGTACTCTCAAGATCTTTGAATACGAGGAGAAGCCAGGAAACAGGCACCGAATAGAAGCTGCCCAGCACAAAAAGTGATAAAAAGAAACATCTTCCATAACCCACATTACTTAATTCTTTACGTTTTGGGTGTCTTTAATCGCTCGTAATTTTGTACGACGAGGTTATTTTCATATAGTGACAACTAGGGCTGGCATATTAGCAAAATATTAGCGTCATTGGAATGCTGGCGCACCTTGAACACACTCTATATATCTTTTAATCATTACTTTGCTTAGATTCGTTGCTTGTCTTTACACGCCTGCTGTGGAACACAGGTTTGGGTTTGAAATATAGGGAAGGTTAACATCTTTCACTGATGAAGAAAAATACTACCTATAGCTGGAGCAGTTACACTTTTACAATGTCAATAAAGGTACATACTAGTCGCTACAATCCAAATAACAAAGATGATCTCTGTTATCTCCAGTGTAGAGACAAAATGCACTCTTTTTTTCCCGTAGGAATGCACAGGAGTACTGTAAAGGTGGACTAGGTGTTATCTGCTTCATCTGCATCCCAAAAGTCGCGTAGACACTAGTGCCAATTGAACCTCCAGCATTCATAATAACAGCTCCTTGGATTGTGGTCGCTGTTGCTGATGAATTTGGGGCTGACTGGTGGCACCCTCCCCATCACCTTTGCAGACGTGCAGACTCTAGACACGGTGCAGGCCTTGTGCCTGCCCCTGGGGGCGTCCATCTCGCTCCTCGTCATGTTCTTCTTCTTCGACTCCATGCAGATGCTCTTCGCCATCTGCACCGCAAGTGAGGATGCCCTGTTTCTCTATATACTCTAAGGGCCCTATGCTACATGGTGGGATCAAGTGGAACCGAGGGACCAGGACAGCGCTGTCTGCTGCGGTTCGTCAGCGCCACGCCGCTGACGAATCGCAGCAGACAGCTTTGTTTCGATCCCTTGGTCCCGCCTGGTCCTGCTGTGTAGCATAGGGCCCCAGCTCACCTTTGAATAAACCGCAGCGAATGCCACAAGTTGTCTCGGCCAATTTGTCACTCTGAACGTACTACGTGACTCCGTGCCGTGTTGTCGCTGCACCCTTCCCGACAATCGCACAACGTTCTTGTGGCATTAGATTGGCTTTGATGGCATGTAGTGCCCTCTGCAGTCTAAATGGTGAAATGGAGTATTTTTGAAGCTCATGCCTTGCCCTTTCGGGAACGGTACTTGTTTAGATTCATGGTAGCTACTTAGGAAAAAAAAGCCTATTATTATCTATATTAATGTAAATGAAATTTCCGATTCTGGTTTTGGGTTTGGTGGATGCCGTGCGGCAGTTCCAAGGAGCAGATGTCCGTTGCAGTTTGCCGACTAACGTCTTAAAGCCCGTTCACACACTCGTGCTTGACTAGGACCTACCGAGACAAGACTGGTTTTTAAGCACCTTGTGACAGCTTACGACCACGCATTGCTGCGCAGCCGGCCGTAAGCTGTCGCAAGGGGCTTAAAAACCGGTCTTTTCTCAGTCGGTTGTAGTCAAGCACATGTGTGTAAATGGGCCTTTATGCAACAACTCATTGCTGACAGACATGTACGAGGCCACGTTAAAACTGTGGGCATTCGACCGATGCAGAAAGTAATTTTCTTTTTCACCGTAAGTGCGAGGGAATCTGAGCTGTTGTACTGCTTCAGCGAGTCAGCTCGGCAGGCCCATTCAAAGCACGCAGCTCACTGCCGTAGCTTCTGCGCTCAAGCTTAAAGCGACACAGGCGCTTGTCATGTGCCCGCAATTTGCGGGAGAAACTTTGGCCAAGTGTCACTGCTGTGAAGTTGCATCAAACTTGTCTATATTTTGAGTTTTGATATCAGTGAAGGTTAAGGAGTGCCCTTCCGTGCTGCTCTCATTGCGTTTTCTGTGCACGTCCTCTCTGTTCAGTAATCGCCACCATCGCCTTGGCCTTCCTGCTTCTGCCCATGTGCCAGTACCTCATCAGGCCCTGCACCAACGGGAACAAGTGGGTGCTTCATCTTTACCGCTGGCAGTGGGCGACGGCCTGGAGGTAGGAAGCTTTGGGGGCGACATGACGGCACCAGAGGTGAAGCCGGGGGGAGACTTTAGTTTTGGAGGGACACGCCCCCCAACAATGACCAAAATTAAAAGACGCTATTGGACAAAAAGGAGAGCTGATTTGGTGCCAACAGTCGTTTTGGTCACCCTTGGGGTCGTTTCTACCGACTCCGACCTGCACTTCCGGCTTCACTCGGTAATTTCTCGTTTGGCTGGCTCGAGTCGGTATGTCGCCTCCTCTGATTCCTACCTCCATGGTGATGGGACTGCCCGGCAAAACTGCCCGCGAGTTTTGATTGTGCCAGAAGCAATCATTTGAAGGGACGCAGGGACAAGTTTTCCCGATGAGGAATTAGACAAGCTATTTCTTTGGGGGATAAGGTGATCAATATTTGCTATTATCCCAAATTATTTTATATTTGCTACTATATTCAATATTTGCTATTATATCAATATTCAATATATCAATATATTATATTCAATATTTGCTATTATCCAAAAGGAGAATTGTTTGGCAGAAGCGCCGAACAATCTGGCCTTTCCGTGCGGCCCTGAAGTGCTTCTTCCGTGCAACGGCACTCGAGCGGCTGGCGGTGTGGTTTGGGACTCCCGTGGCACGCTGTGTTGACCGGCCTGGGTGGCGCTTTGTTTGTGCGGGTGGTGCAGAATCTCGTTTGGGACGTGCGGCCGGTTCACAGCCGCCGAGCTGGTCTCCTTCTCCCTCTCGCTGGCCATCGTGTGCGTCTGGGTGCTCACGGGACACTGGCTCCTCATGGACGGTGAGTGGGGCTGCCCCTCGATGCTCTGCGGAGGACTTCAGCCGTGTTGTTGCCATACCGTTCCCGTAGTAAATCTAGAGACTACCATTTTTTCTAGCGTTTTGGTGGAACGGCGGGTCGTAGGAGCAGACACCTGTAATCCCAGTGGGCCCAGATTGCTGGCGATCATTTAATAAACGCAAAGAAGCAGCAACGTATCACTCGCAAGGTCCGTGTCCAGTCTTTTTTTTGGCTTCGCTTGTCAAGAAAATGCTCCCGCTTTGCAGTCCACCAAGAAAACCTAAAGCAGGGGGGGAACTGATGAAATGCACTTTGGAGCAGCCACGGGAGCAGCTGAAACAGCCGTTTTGGAGCAGGATGGGAGCAGCTAAAGCTACATTCTGGAGCAGGCTAGGAGCAGCTCAGATCAGTTTTCAGTGCACTTCAGCTTGTGTCTTAGACAAGCACGGGAGCAATTTCAATTGTGCTTAGCAGTACAGATTAACGTGACTGGTTGGGACCTAGGTAGATGGGATAACAGTGTAACAGATTCGAAAACTTGAAACTTTGTGAGCCTTAATGAGAATAAAAAAGCAAGTACCATATGTTTCTGAAGATAGTGCTCTTGATATTTTCTGAGTGGCTTTCAGCTGCTCAAAATACAAACTAGCACTGCTTATCGCACAACCCACACGTGCTCGTCATGGTAATTATATGTGCGAACCACATGACATGCGTCGGACTTGCAGTTGCACGGTAGAATAGGGCAACAAATTTCAAGTTTTTCCTATTTTGCAACTGAATATCGAAGCAGCAGACTACGATTAACGGAGTTTTCGTACTGGAAGCGATAAGCAGGAGCAAGGTTAACAAACGCCGAGCAGATCTACCGCTCGCGTGAGAGCTGTTGGCCGGCAAGGTTTCGGGTCGGACAAAGGTTCAAAGGAGTGTATTGGCTTTGCTTCCATACAGCCGAGAGCCTGAGGCAGCCAAAAGGCAGAAGCCGGTACATCCAAGTGCTGGATGCCTCCTCAGCTGTATGTTAACTGCTAGAGAATACATGTGAATGAAACTTCTATGTACAGGTTTATTACATGTTTCAGTTCTATCAAATCACGATTTATCTTGCGAGAATGCGGTTCCAACTTCTAACGATGAAGTACTAAAAGGAATCTTTTGCTTATTTGTTTTCAACTGGCTGACGTCCAGATCCCGGGCCCCAGAGCCTGAGGCAATCTGACGCTTAACGACTCGACCTCACCTCGGCCGACTTGCTTAACCGCTTATGGTTGAAGGATAACAATCCAGTCGCAGGTTGTGTAGCGCTTGGAATCCGACCCCCGAGTTTTTTCGCGCGCTTCCAACTCGGGATATACAAGGAGAATAAACAGAACAAAGGATTGCAAGGCCGACAAAGCTAAATGCGCTCATTGTTGCCAATCGAGTCAATAAAAACTGAAACTAAAACAAAATACATTTTTTTGGCGCACATTTTTCGATTTGGCGCATAATGGCGCGAGGTATTGGCTGTGGCGCGGTTTCCGCAACATGGCGCAGGATGGCACAGACAAATGTGTCTGGCGCAAAATGGCGCAAATGGCACAGCCGTTCCACCCCTGCTAAAGTTGACAGGCAACTGAACGTCTCAAACACGTTGCAGCAAACGAGTGTGACTAACCTTTTGTCTGCTTTCTCTTTCTGGTCTTCCGTCTTTCTTTTTCTCGTTCGTTCTCTCGAGACCGATGATGTCGGCGCTTACGATTTGCTGCGTCCCACTCCCGTCTTCATCCCTGGGTTTTTGCGTGGGATCATTGTTGCCATTTTCGTCGTGCTTTGCTAAAACGGGTTGCAACTGAGCAATCCGGATTTTGCGATCTGCCAACGCCGTATCCCAAACTCGGAAAGCCGCACTTCGGAACTTTGTTGCCCTGAGCCGTCAGTGGGGCTTCGGGCAACTAAGTGGCAGTGACGGGCACGAGCCTCTGGCTCCTAAGTAATTGTTACACGACGCAAGCGGACGAATGCCCGTTGCAGCGGTGCCGGACGGCGGGTAGGAGACGTTTCGATACCCTGAGTGTTGCTTCGGAGCAACTGCAGAGGCGCGCCTCTTGGGGGGTGTGGCGCCGTTGTCTCACCAGCTGAATTGCGGGTGCGCTCGACTGCAGCTGTAGCAGGATCTTTGCCAGATCTTTGCCAGGGGTCTTAATGTCAGAAACGAAAAGAGAGTATGTCAAGACGTAGGGCCTACACTCTTAATCGCCAGTACGAATTGCCCAAAAGCAGTAACCGGCATTCCCTCCGTATTGCTGCACGTCTTTACTGTGGGTTGAACTGTTCTAAAGTAATAGACGCATGAAAACGACAAATTTATAAGTAATTTCGCAACTGTAGTTTTCCTACGCAGATATGCCCACTCATTTTTGAATATTTGCAATTTTTTGTACTTTCCCCAGGCTGAGTCAGAAATGTTCTCAATATCAACAGAAACGAGCCATGTAAATGTAATTTCAATCAGACATGTGGTTCAAGCGTTCACTTTTTTGGGTATTGTTCCCCTTAATTAAGGTAAATGGGAGCCAGTTTCATGGCAGATGATTTTGCAATTTTTTGGCTGTTACTTTCTGGGTATCTTTGTGAGATGAATAGTTCACAGAGTGAGTGGTATGTCTCTAAAAATGCTTTTGCTTGTTTGGTATAGCTTCTAGCATTAAGTTTTCTATTTGGCTTAATTAACTGCTGGCTTTTTAATACTGCAATGAGTATGAAAAGGTGCGATATAGCATACTATGTGCGATTGTCGCTTCATATTTTTTTTGCTGTTAGTGACTTTGCAGTACTGTTAACGCTCTCGCTATTGCGACTGTCTCAGGTTTGCTATTGGACGCTTTCTCAAGTGCCTGTATCTTGCTCATCATTTGCTTATTTACAATACTTGTCTGCTTTCTCATTTACAGACTAACGGTAAGCTGCACAAAGCTAACTCTTTTCACGTGAACACACACCACCGGACACACACTTCACATTGTTGGGTGCACATCACCGAGTTACGTTGCCAGTTATGGCCGAATAAGAAAACACCGGAAAACTTTTTGTATGAGCTAGCGGTAACCATTACGTCTGCACAGAGACCGACGGCAAGGTGCGGGTGAGCTGTGGACGACACGCAAACATTGACGAGCATGCGCATAGTTTCTGAATCATCAGGATTTTGTGTTTGTGTGTCAGTTTTGTGGCATTAGCAGTGTGTGCACAATCTAACCAATGCCGTAGCACACTGCAGCTTGGCAGAACACGGAGTAGTAAAAGCTCGCTCCTGGTACTGGGACATTGTGAGTTTGTGGCCTACGTCTGCCAGTATTAAATGGAAATGGGGTATTGTACTGGTAGGCGCCGATGTAGTAACGCGACTATGCGACACACATTAAAGTCATAAATTGGCAGTCACGTATACTGCAGAGGCCCAATTGTTCCCAAAATGCCACATCATGGCATTTTGGGGCAAACTAATTTCCCGCTGTCTGAGCACCTTTACAGTAGTAAGTTGGATTCTTTTGTTTTCGTAATGAGGGCAACATTTGGGGGGAAGGGGGGACGGACTTGGGAAGCAACACACCGCCGTTACGTAATGCTTGCTTTGTTTCTACATTTTATGCAGGTTCTTCACGTTATTTGCGAGCAACGTTCGTTTGAGGCTGTAACTAAGGAAATAATCCGGATTGACTGGATTACCCCGTGCGCCGAAGCGAGAGATTTATATTGTGAAGCCGTAAGTTTGTGGGCTGGCATTTGCATTCGTCCGTAATGAACTGCTCTATGACCGCTTGCGACAGCCTACGACGGGATAACAGGCTGGCGCCGTCCGCAGAGTAGTCCTGGAACAATTCCGATCTTCACACATTTTAAGCATCCTTCTTTACCGTGAGCTTGGAATAATTCTGACAATGTTATAGAGACCATTCCTCGTAGATAGCGCGTAGACAGTTGTCGTAGCACGAACGATCATGGTTGAACGCAAATGCGTGAGCCAGCCTTATTACAATTTGCATTTGAGATTCAGTCGCGTGTCGTCGGGTAATGCCTCGCAGGACACGCCGACTAATGTCCCTCGTGCCTACGGTTGCTCGTCATCGTGCAGTCGCGCATCTTCCACACGGCGTTTGCCTTTTGAATGTGTGAAGTGTGGCCGGTGGGTGTTTGGATGCGGCATGCTGAGATGTCTGTTGCCGTTTCCGGTGGTTGTTGCTGCAGCCATGGGCATGGGCCTGTGCGTGGCATTCATCGCCTTTGTGAGGCTCCCCAGCCTCAAGGTGTCCACACTGCTGCTCACGGGCCTCCTCATCTACGACGTCTTCTGGGTGAGCGCCACCCCTGGCCATGCGCCGCCCTACCGCAATCTCTCTCGTCGGGGCAGACGTTAGGAGAAGGCTCACGTAAAGGGGACGTATTGTGGCAGCTGCCACAAAGCAGCTGCCAACTTCCGGCCCATTCTCTGCGGATTGTTTACAAGTCGCGGGACTTTGGAACAAACGTTCTGGATTTCCTGGAACTCTTCTTTTTAGTGGACGCTAAATATGTGTTGAGAACTATAATTTGAATATTCTAGGCACAAAATGTAGTGCAAAAGAGAGAAGGGAGGGGAGGGCAATGGAGGGCGAGGGGAGAAAGGGACAACACCAGCTTATCTAGGCAGCAAAGGAGGTTTCTCTCCTCCCCAGCCTTCCTAGTGCTCGCCCTTTTTCTTTTCGACTGGCGTTTCCTTCGCCTTTACTGCAAAGGCTGCACAATTTAGAGGTTTGAAGAAAAATGACTAGCTGAGCAGGTACAGAATAATGGCACGGGAAAGGGGGCCCACCTTTGTCAGAGATACTCTGAAGACCCTTATGTAATGCCCTAACTGGGAAGAAGAAATTAAATAAGGTGAAAGTGCAACTTAAAAAAAAATGTGATGTTTTTTCATCATTTTTTTTTTTCGGACATATATTTTTTTCACGGAATACAGCAACTAGGCTGAAACCAAAGCCTCTGCCGAGAACCAGAGACTAAGAGAGAGGAGACGCGACGCATCTGTCGCAATAGGCTATTTTCAAAAATCCCTCCATGCAACACTGTGCATGTTGCACGCCGGGAACCAGTTGGCCACGGAGTGGAGTGCCATAGTTTCGGTTTCGATCAGACAGCCGCTGTCTGTACACCTGCAGCCAAGCGCGTAAACTTCCAAGCCTGCATAACTTTTCTTCACGTGCATGCAAACGTGTTTGCACTCAGGGGCACCGGCAGGGACGTTGCAATCCATCGTTCAACATGTGCCTACCTTTTCCCAAAATCCAGTACATAGGGAACCACACAAAAAGGGCCAAGTGCTTTTGTTGATATCTCTCGGTAACGCCTACAGTGTTGTACACTTATAGGAAGTCGCAGCCATGAAGACGCAAGCGGCGTGTTCTCTCAAGACACTATGATCATCACAGAATCTGAAACTGAAACCAAAACTAAGTGGCCCACTGGTACCCAGAATTCATTTCGCACCACCGTGCCACCAGGGGCGCTTCGATTCAGGAAAAGATCTATTAGCTCTGGCAACTGTGGGCATCTGTTGGATAACTCAAAGTTTCCTTTCACTTCCGCTATCGCGTAGTGTGCCATGGGTACAGTACTAGGTCTACTGACTGTTTAGTCGAATTGAGGGATTGAAAAGATTTCTTTGGGTTAGAACCTAAGGGGCTCGTATTACGTTCTAATCATGAAATTCACTCAGCAGGGTTCAGTTACGTTTTGCAACATCAATTTCTCGGCACCCGAACCACGTATGCTCCAGATAGATGCCGCATTAACTTGCTCGAAACGTTTTTTGGCTGCTTACAGAAATTCCGCCTTTTTATGGAAGTGCAGACCGCCTTAAAGGAAGTGACGATAAAGGATCTTTCAAAGCAGTCCTCTTGCAAATGACTCTGCTGGTAAAGTTTGTTGGGGTCGAGCCACGTACGTCGGGGTGGGACGGACGTGTGACTTTGTGCCGATTATCTTCCGCAGGTATTCTTCTCGTCGTACATCTTCAATGCCAATGTGATGGTTAAAGTGGCTACCCGACCTGCCGACAATCCTGTGAGTCCCTTTTCAGTGTGAAGCATTGTCGCGCGTATACGATGTGCGCGACTCGTTGCCATAATATATATAAAGTGTCTTGAAGTTTTCTCAGGTTTACATTGAGACCGGGACAGCATTTTGCTTGCATGCATGTTTGATGCTAAAATCGATCATGTACTGGGAGAGCGTGAGAAACGGGCTAGTTCAGAGTTACGCATTTCATGTTTCGTGTGCCTTTTTGCATCGAGGTAGCAACCGGATGAAAACTAGTATCTTTTGCAGCTTCATTACGGTGCACGCAAAAGCTTGCAGCTTTCTCATAGGTGTATTTAAATGCGGCAAAATGAACAAGCGTTTGCATTTGTAATGCGACGAGCATACAATGCGGCTCGGAGCATACGGAGCAAAAGATTGCTCCTCAGAAACCGGGAATCCCGGATCTGACGCCCTTTTCGGTTTAGATGAGCATCGTACCAATGTGCCGTTGCGCGCGATGCGCATTAAAAATTCCCAGGTACACCGTCGAGCTGAACCGGCTAAATTTATCGTCTACGGCGGATACATTGTAGGGCAGGCTAACTTTCCGCTTTCTAAACTCCCGCATAAGAAATTACTGCAACTCGTAGTTTTAGCTGTCGTACCGGTGTCCACGTGGTACGTCGAAGGCTAGGTTTGCCCGACCTCGCAAGTATGATGCAGCTGGCGGACATTGTGCGACATGCTGCAACGCTGTTGCTTTCAGTCTGGGCCAGAAGGCTGTCGTTTGAGCAGCCCCGGTTGGGACGTTGGTTGCTTGCAAGGTTAAAAGCGACGGGGGTTGTCATTTCAGGTGGGGCTAGTGGCCAAGAAGCTGCACCTTGGCAGCATGGTCAGGGAGGCACCCAAGCTGTCGCTGCCCGGAAAGCTCGTCTTTCCCAGGTACGCTTTTCTCAGTAGTACTTGCTCACCTGCGTCTGTTATTGCATTCTGCTTAAAAGTCCTTGAGGTCAACTGTTAACTGGCAATGACTCGTTTGCGCTAATAGAGTCGCCAAGTATATGTCCTTACCTGGAGTGCTGCGGCGCTTTTCCATCAATGTGCAAGTTATTCTCGATGTGATCTGGAACACATTTATCATGGATATGCCTGCAGCTCCACAAGAGTTAGAGTAGAGGGAAAGAACAGAAAGCATAAATAATTATGCAGAAACTAGAAACGCTATGAGCTCGGTGCCGAATAATAAAACACTTTGGTGAAAGATGGTGGTGGTAAGGGAATGCACGAAGAAAGGTGTGGAAATAGAATGACACCAGCAGATAGGCAAAGGTTGGTCAAACTCTCAGGTAGGCCTGTTAAATGTTAAGTGTCACGCGAAAAATTTTTAAATGGTGATTTCTAATAGTTGATCGCGGCGGATTAGCCCCGTCGAGTAAGCTTCTCACTGAGCACCTTTGAACTGCGGAGAAGCGATACCCGTGAAGCTCGCGAGCTCCCTGGGTGTCGCTTCCCCGCAGTGCACAGGTGCTCAGTGAGAAGCTTACTCGATGGGGCTAATCCGCCACAAGTATGCAAGAGTATGTGGTTTTTTTTTGTTTTTGTCACGTTTGAAATTGAAGTAAGAATATTTACGTATAATGAGCAGATTTAGAAATCCCCTGATAGCTGTGACAAATTAGTTGTTTACATGTCACAGTTTATAAGTGTAGTTATATTAAAATTAACTGAGCTTAGAAGTGTACAAATGGAATCTTGGGGACGACCCTCCCGTTTTCAGCTGGGTTTTTGTTTAAACATGGTGCAGCAGCGAAAGGCTCGGAGAAACAATTCTAAAATATTAGTCCAAAAACCACTATTCGCTTACAGCTCAAAATCCACCATTTTCACACATAAACTATGTTTTAAATATCCAGTGCCTGAATTGCGCACGAGGAATTTGTCTAGTTAAGTGCTGTTTAAAGGTGAACTTTGTCTGAATGTTTGTGTTGGGCAACTTTGTCAGGTGGGGTTCTCTTTTTGCCCCTTGTGCAGTGTTCACAACAGCGGCCACTTCTCCATGCTGGGACTAGGAGACATTGTGAGTGGAGCCAAGTGGCCAGCGCCTCTCGGACATCCTCCTGAATTCCCTCTTGCAGCTGCCGGTTTCTTGTAGATACCAGTTAAACTTGCAGCACAAATTATTTAGGAGTCTGAATCAACTATGATATTGTTCTACTATAACTACTTAAAATTATCATGAGGCTTTCGTATTTTCGGTATATACCAATAAAGACTGATAAATAGAAAGATAAAAATAAATACAAAATTAACTCCCGAGGCGATTTTCTTTGAATCGGTGAAAACCAAAACCCCAAACACAAATGTCCTTAATCCTTTGTGGTCATGTGTCGGGCCAGGCCGGACATTGAAGAAACGCGCTTCCGGTAAGGAGTCGGGCGTCTCCCGACTCACACTTTCGCGTCCTTTTAAACATGCCCCTTCGATCTTTTTGCTGGATTGGTGGCGCCATCTCTTGGAAAACACTTCAATCACATCACTCCTGAAAGGGTTTGAGTTTCTTCTCATAGACGGCAGAACTAGTCATAAAGAAAAAAAGACGTCTTATGTTGTATGTTTTTTTTTGTGCAACGGAGGAGCGCGCAAATTTCAACTTCACTGGCACGATGGTTATAGCCACGTTCCAGCCATGCTCGTTTCATGTAACTCTCTGCGTGATGTAACTGAAAGTGACGACGATTTCAGTGAAGAGGACGACTATATACCTCCATCAGATGATGGAGAGGCGATTTCTGTGACTTGAGTGAAAGTAGTGATGAATATGAAAAGACTGCGCAAGACAGCGGCCATGGAGCCGCTCCACCACAAACATTGTTTCGGAGTTTGTACACAAACAATCTCCCAGGCTTTCCTGTCCTTACATTCAGTGTGAGACATTACCTTTGTACGCCGAAATAATTTTACTTTTTCAGGGCCCATGCGTACAAAATAGTTCCTGACCGGAATGACCATTAAGTTGGTCAGAGTATCTGACCGCAAAGGGTTAAAAAAGAAAGAAAAAAAATCCATTTTTAGGCGAAGACATTTTCTACCCTACTTTATTTTTCCTCGTTGACCCGGAACACAACCACACTGAATTGTCTTTGGGGTGTTTCCTTTCTATCGAAATCATATACCTGGCCCCGTTTAATTCTCTTATATTTACCAGCGTTACTGGAGAAAATATTTTAAGCTACAAAACGTTTCACGGCCCCTTTAAATGCCGCCAATGTTTAACATAGCCACACGCTGGGGTTGTCAAAGCACCGGGCATGCACAGAGTTGGACGAATTGTTCAGGTTCAACTATTCCCATTGTGTCTGCGACTGGTCACAGACCACTACCCGAATGCATGTCGAGGCATTGTCACACACCCAAATCGAGCGCCCACGCGGGTCTCGTCTCCGCTGTACGAGTCGCATTTAAATATCGTCACAACGGGGATTGCATTGTTGGTGTTGTCCCCGCAACTTCGTCGTCAAGTTTGCGAACTTCCACGGCGACCAAGACGCTTGTTGGTTGGTGGTGTTGTGTTCAAGTATTCTTGGTTCCCACTAGGGGTCAATAAGCTTGTGTAAAGTGAGAAGCACTAATACCCAATATCGTTGCACGGCCCTTTTAATGAATGTTTGAGACTAAAAGACTGGATGTACCGATCGTTTTCTACTCTATAATTTTACAGTGGGTGTATTAACTGGTTTTTAGCATTTGTTTGTCGAGTTGGTACATGGCGTTTATGTGCATAAAACCCTTTGCCTTCCTTTGAAGGTGACATTCTTATCTGCCATCTCTCATTCCTGATCTTGACTGCAAAAGAATTCACACATAGTATCCAGAATTAACCGTGTTTTTCACTCTGCAAAAACAAACCGAGTGTAGTGCCAATGGTCGGGATAATCTGGCAAAATTTCAGAACTCGGCGGTGTCCAATTCAAAATTTGATTGTCCCCTGGCAGCTACATATCCAAATAGCCTCAATGAAAGACCGGTGGCCAGCAGAGGCTGCAAATGTATACGGAGATGAGTGGCATCTGCTGCCATAGAGGAGCCCCGCTTTTTTGAGCCCCGCTTTTTCCTTAAAACTCTCAGGAGGTGGCTTTTAATGGCATTTGATTTGGATAACATTGAGTTCCGAAGGAAGACAACAACCGGGACAGGGTGCAATGCACTGGCATCACATCATTTGTTTCTGTGGCGTGAAAAACACACTTTGCTGCTCTCGACTGGCGTCCCACATGCTATTCCACAAGGAGACAAAATTTTTTCTTAAGCTCGAGAAACATGAGAGCCTGCTTTCTGGGGAATGTGCGTGTGCGCAGGTGATGCCGGGGCTGCTGCTGTGCTTTGTGCTGCGCTACGACGCCTACAAGAAGGCCCAGCTGAGTTCGGCGGAGACGGGCCTGCCGCCGCCCAACCACCTCAACAAGATCTCCTACTTCCACTGCTCCCTCATCGGATACTTCCTCGGTAGGTGGGGGCCACTGTAGACGGCAAAAGTTGGAAGGGGACGTGCGACGAGTGCTCGAAGGAACCACAAACATTTTGAGAATGTGAGGCGAGGGGAACTTCTTCCAACAAGGAGTGCACTCCAGCACGTGGCACTTGGGGTGCTTTGTGCGGTGGGACAGCATAGCGCCGACTTGTCTTATTGCATTACATACCTCGCATATGTCTTTCTGGTTCTTAGTTTGCTTTCCTGGTGGGTATTTGAAATCACTGGAGCTGTTGGTCAGTGCCTCGTGTCCGTGTTCAGCTGTCTCGCGTTTCAGTCTTTATCTTTGTTACGTCTTTCTAAAGCTGGCCGTGTTTGTACACAATAGAACAGAAATGCCAAAGTGATGCCGACCAAAAGAGTTCTCATCCCTTAGGCAGTTCCTTTTAGGGGCGAAGCTCCTTAGGGTCTAGCCTTGTCCGGTGTCCGTGCTCACATCGATTGCGCTGCCTCCGGGATCGGCCCACTTTAGAAAAAACAAAAACGTACGCCCGCACGGGGGTTCGAACTCAGGACGTCTTAACCACTACGCTACACTCCAACATTGCATGTAGCCGCACAACGTCTATACAGGAGAGGGCGCTGTGGTCAAATGCATATATAATTGCGTTAAACTTTGCATGCATTGGCTCAATGTTTATAGACGAGAGGGCGCTGCGGTCAAATGCTCAAATGCCTATATAACCACGTTCCATACCACACATTCTCTTTCTGACATGGGCTGTTGACAAAGGGGTACTCCGCCGTTTTCTTCATAGTCCCCGATTTGCCTAGAAACTTGCTAAAAACACCAACAAACATCGCTGAACTAGTAACCCAAATATTTGGACAAAATAACATTTTTTCGCGAAGTTACAGAATTTACAATTTTGGTCCTCATCGTGTTTTACAAAGTGAAAAACTCTACTGGCAACATTGAAAAAGTGACGTCATGAGTGTGCAGGGGTTCACTCTTTGGGCTGCAGACTTTGTTTTCAACTGATTACAAGCAGTTTTATGGTGTCAAATGAATGCTTTGGAAAGTCGCTCCAGCTCCCGGGCAGCAGCACGATACAAATGCTCGGCATAGTTCATTTTTAGACTGCCCGCTCGAACCGCAAGCCGGCACATTCTTGACGTCACGGCAATGAAAAGCGCGGGTATATTCGAATCTTCGTTTTGGCGTCATTTTCATTTGCCGATTTCACAATAACTATTCTGAATTTCGCGATACAAAATAACATATTAAAAAGAAAAAAGGACAGCGATTTCAAAAATATAGTTAGTTGGGGTTGCTCAAAAAGTCGCCGGAGTTCCCCTTTAAGCGGTGGAGATGCATTCCCACGGCTTCTAGCGGATCCAAGGTGATCCGCTAGAAGAACCACTGGCTCGAAACGCAACCCGGAACTCAGCACTACGTATGAGCAATAAAAACAAATCAGCACCATCAGCACTACCTATGAACAATAAAATCAGTATCATCAGCACCACCAGAGCTTCGCCCCAATCAACATCATTCGCCACGTGGAGATGCGGTCTTTTTTTTGGGGGGGGGGGGGGTTAGAACTTGTTTTACCCTCACTCTGCCTCTCTCGGACCATGGTTGACGAGAGTAGTGCTGCTGCTGGGATGTTCCCGGAGAACACTCGTTTCGTCGTGCTCGTGCGTGCGTGGAAATAACACGTAGTTACCCTCTTTCGGGACTTTGTTTGAGTGGAGATGGAGTAGCGCGTAAGAGAGACGGTACTCCGTGATGTGTGCAGGCCTGCTGACTGCCACGGTGTCCTCCGAGGTGTTCAAGGCTGCCCAGCCAGCCCTCCTCTACCTGGTGCCCTTTACTCTGCTTCCCCTGCTCACCATGGCATACCTCAAGGTCAGTGGGGACCCCCTCTCGTGCAGAACGGGAGAGCACGGTGCCTGCAACTGGGATCCCAATGCAGACGTTGCACTGTAGGAAATGGAGCTAAAGGCCGATTCACACACTCGCAACAGCTTACAACCTCTTGAACATCTTCTACGACGAAGTTGGGTAGCTGTGGAACACTCGGTTTCGACATATTAAAGTGATACAGTATAGACCACTTACAACGTAACCGCTTATAGTGCAGGACCGGGTATAACGCGGTTTTTTTAAACCACCGGTTCGCCTCCCATAGAACTCCATGTATTTACATACCGCTTAAAATGCAGGCGCGCGAAGGGAAATACCGGCTATAGTGCGGTTTTTGGCACAGCCCGTCGACCGCGCCGACGACCGGAGCAGCGGGCACGCTTCCCTGTGCGACACTAGATAACGGCGCTGACGGCGCGGGGCGAGGATGTTGCTCGAAGAAGTGGGGCGAAGCGAAGAGAGAGGCTTCAGTCGCCGTAGCGACAGAGGGACGCACGCACGTGTCGTTCACGTGCGTGCGTCCCTCCGCTGCGTTGGAAACAAAGAAACAAACAACCGCACCGACAGACCAATCGCAGATCGAGGAGAAGTGTTCGCGACTTCGCGCGCGTTCGTACCGGTCGCGGGCCGGCTGCTTCTCCGCAAACATGGTGTCGGTTGTGATCGTCGTCGTAGACGGAGTTCATCTCATCGTTCTGTGAATTTTCGTTGTGTGTCGCTATGATAACCCAGCACGTACTTGAAGGGAAGATCCACCTACTCGTGCAGCGATGTCGTGGCGGCGCTCTCAAGACGGCAGAAACGCCCGTGTCGTCGTGTTTGTTTACTTCGACTACAGTGGTGATTTCTAAGCATTTGTGACCTCAAACATCGCCCGGATTTCTTATTTGGCGCATTTCATGCATGTGCTAAAGTTCAAGGTATTACTGGCGCGTACCGTATGAAGGATGCGAATTTTCACGCGTTTTCATCTCCGGAGAAAAGTGATTAGGGTTAGCAATCCTGAACGCTCGCAACGTCCGTCCGCAACCCGCGACGCCGTTAAAAGGCTGCGCCAGGCAAAAGCCGCTAATTTCTTTCAAAATGTGTGACACACTTGAGACATAACTGTACTAGTCTGGTGAAATAAAGACTTTCCTCAAACTAAGCTTTATTTTTCATCTAACATAAAATAAATTCTTTTACAAAGGTAAGTTGTCTCATGGCATGTATTTTGGCCTGAAAAATTGATGTTTTGGTTATAACGCGGTACCGCTTATAGTGCGGATTTTCGCGACTCCCGCGACATACGTTATATGTGGTCTACACTGTATAGCTTTAGGGAGCTCTTGTCGCAGAAAAGCTGGCGTCTGTGTAGGTGTCGGTGGGATGGAAAAATCCTGATTGGTCAATAAGTCATTTATTTGCCTTAATGACCAACGATCAGGCTCGAAATTCTGCTAGGCAGGAGAACCTCCTCACTGTGGGGGAGGATGAAGCAGGCAACGGTGGACAGGGTAGAAGGGGGAGGAGGAAGCGGGGAAAAAGTGGAAAGCGCAAACTGGTCGTCAATTTTTAATGAAAAAATTCTAAGAATTTTTTTTAAGGCAAATGAATTACTTAAAGAATTTTTCTTTGAGACAATTCCGCCGAAGAATTTTAGGCGGAGTGTAATTGAACCCACAGACTTTAGGTTGCAAGCCAGACATGCTGCCGACCTGGCCACGCATGCACACTTGCATGGCTTGGGAGCAAGCGGGGTATATTTAGCCATCGCGTTTTTTCATATTTTGGGGGCATCGTAGATGAGGCGTAAATTTGACCTCTCTAAACCGCAAAAGCTTCGCTCTAGTGAAACGCAGTTCTAGGGCCACCTCATAGATGGTCCAGCGTGTTCTCTTGTCGTAAGACATCGCAGGTCCTAAAGTAAGAATGCGTTTACCGCATTCGTACTTTGGCTGGCAGGTTCCGGCGATGACCAAACGGCGAAATGCCGTGGTTCGCCGCAATCCCGGCAATGGCACGGCGGCGAAAGAGGACAGGGTGGGCGGTTATTCTGCCGTAGATCGCTCCGCAGCCGGCCGGCCGACGGAAACTCTGACGGACATGAGTTGGGATGCCGGCAAAGCATTGGTCCGCCCGTCTTTTTTGCCGGGACACTTCTACAACCGACCTCGAGGACCGTGACGACGTGTTTTCTGGCGGCTCGCGTAACCTTTTTATCGCCGTCTCGAGGGAGGCATAAAGCTGAGCTCAGCGGTCGGGGAAGCGGCCACGGTGGTGCCAGAAAAGGTGCTGTGAGACCTGTGGCTGGTCAAACATCTCGTTGTGCTCGTCCGCTACACGCCCGTTCGCACACTAGCATTTGCTTAGGACCGAGTTCTTGCAATCTCTTAATGACAAGGGAACAGACTGGCACGCTAGCGCCATAAATGCATTCACCCTGAAACTGCATTTTACTAGAGCGGAGGTTTAGCGGTAGTATTTGAGACATCAAACGTATGTACTACCTAACAAAAACGGCTGTTTATGACGTTGCGAAAGTTTTACTAGCCAAGAAGGAAAAACTCGGGAGAAACATGGGAAATGTACGGAAATGCAGAATGTTCCACGGCCCCCCAATAGACGGTGCCAGTGCGTCCTCTGCTAAAAGATAGTTAAATGAAGGCACACGGTCGTGTCCATGATGCCTCTCGTCTTGCGCGCAGGGCGACCTGAGGCGCATGTGGAGCGAGCCCTTCATCACCCCTCCCCCTTCGAAGCACCTGGACGTCTGACGAGCGCCGGGCCCCGGGACGCCGGTCACCCATCGTCGTGCGAGTCTTCGCTCCGGGACGTGCTTACCCTCATTGTGCGTGTTCTCGACTCGGCGGACGGAAACTCTGGCCCCAGCTGCACCCGACCCCAGCCCGACGTCCACCATCTGCGTCGCCGTGTACATAGTCACCCGCGTGCCCACGGTGCCGGCTGTCCCGCGTCGTGCGTGCTTTTTACTTCCCCTCATCTCCCCCTGCGCGTCCTTATTTATGCGGTTGCTCCGGTCGCCCCTTTCGTCCTGCCCTTGCGCGGTTTCCGAGCTGTTCCGGAGTCTGCGTCGAACGGACAACCTTCGCGAATACAAATTTAGTTGTGTACGAGAGTACCGATGTGCAGTTTCCCGTTTTTTTTTGTTTTTTTTTCACCGTTACGTTTTAATTGGGGATCTTGGTCGTACGGTTCACATCCCCGAGACGTTCATCCGACAGAAGCTTGAGCCGAACAAATGGGTTTGGGGCTCCGAATCGTAGTGCGTAGCGAGAGATGATAGGGATGCTGCGTAAAATTGGATGCTCCTCGCTGGGGCTGGTTGCAAACCAAACGACTTTGGACCCTTGGGACTGACCTTCCCGAAAGAGGCAATTTTAAAAGAGAGAGATTCATACTAACAATGCGTGTCGACTAAGGCTCGCCGAACGCGCGCAAGTCTGCGATCGAGGGGCGGCGTAGGTGTTTTTCTTTGTGCACCTTTGCATTTCTCGATTACCTTGCAGGCACATCCAACGCCGCTTGGTCCAAACCGTTCCGTGTCTGCCAGCCTCCTTGACGAGCCGGAAAAGGCGACTGGTACTCGACTCGCGATTCAAGGTTGTGCCGTACGTGGCATGCGTGGGCTTTCCTCATGGGGGACGTCGCGCGCTGCACCTAGCCCAGTCGGACAGGAAGACCGCCGTGCGCGGAAACGACAGCGGCGTAACAATCTCGATGGACAAGCGACACGGAACAAAGCGTCGGCTGGCATATTGTCGGCGCCGACCAACCCTTTCACAGCGCCACAGTCCTTTATCTTTCGCGCCGTCGGACCTCTTGAGCTGTTTACTCCTTAACCGTTTGGGATGAGCCTAGCTCGTATGTGTGGAGCCATCCCTAAACCGGTCAGGATGGCTTGTCTGCTTTCCCCGGTTTATGCACTCAACCGTTTTGAACGAACTAGCCGACCCTATAATATACACATGCATTTTGACCCCCCCCCCATCCCACCCTCCACACCCCGAGTCATGGACACCCCCGCCACATTGACTCCCCCCCCCCCCCCCCCCGGAAAAAAAAAATTGTGGCTACGCAAATGAAGGGCATCGGGGAATATTTTTCTTAAAATTTTGCTCTCATTCTGTTTGTGGCTAGAAACTTGACTTTGAAGGCAACAGATGTGATTTTCGAGGGAAGGGCTAAGCAGCCGAGGATCATAAGCTCCTCAAAACTAAAAAGAGTTCAGGGGTTAAGCACCCGCCATTGTTTTTCTGCACGCACACTCTGCAAATTGCGCACATCCTGCGGACCGCGACGTGCCACCCTCCTCGTCTCGTTTCTCTTCTCGAGCCTCTTCCTCACTAGTCCCCTCTCGCTTTGTGCTTGGACACTCCCGCGTGGTGCGCTCTCGACCCTGCGGGGCACTCCGTTCTCTTTGCCGGGCGGTTTCCTGGCGGCAGCTCGCACGCCGTCTCTCTGCCGACGTCTTCCCGGGATCGGGGATAAGCGCCGCCGGAGACACCGTGGGCTTCTGCGGCAGCCGTACTGTCGTAGCGTGCCGATTATTTATTAATTGCATTCCCTTCTCCGACGACGAATCGACGAGTAACCGTACCCATCGTTCATGAAAACGAGGTCACAGAGACATATTTCATACTAGATGATAGATATATAAATATATACGCGAGGAAAGCGCGCCTGGCTTCCAGTGTGGTGTTGCCGTGGGTCTGCCGCCGCTCGGCTCTGCGGTCTGCTTCGAGACGGCAGCTGACTGGTGGAATCGTCTGAGCGATTACGTGCAAGGTTTTATATCGTGAATCCTAGTGTGTCTGTTGCGCAGTGCCTGCTTGTTGGTGTGTGTATCCCGAGAGGAATGGCTGCGAGGAAGGAGTTAAGTTTGGGGCGCTTTTGGCGAGTCTGAGCAGGTGTTAGATGAACAGGCACCCAGCTGTTTCCTAAACGCCAGGCACATAGTGCGTGTGGACATTCGAGTGGCTGTTGTTTTAGACTTTTTGTCTGTCTGGTTTTGTAATAAAGCCTTATAAAGGAATGGCTTTGCTTATTATTCGCACTAGAGATGGGTGAGTGGGCATTTGAGCTCGGCGCGGAGATTTGTGTTCCTCGGCGAAGGTCGACATTGACGGTAAGTGGGCGCAAACTTCGTTCGTTTAATGAGGACGCAATGGGTTCGAGGGAAAACAATACCCGGTTTTGTGGCCCATATGTACGAACTAAGCATTGTAGAAAGCTGAAATTCTGCGTGAATGTGACTCCGGTTATGGTGTTAGAATGGGAAACTTGGAGAACATGCCATTAACTAGATCAAAAGATAAACTGGGAAAACAAACTTTTCTACGATCAGACTTCCGCTTATGCCTAACATTACCTGTAAAAAATCTCGGTTTAACGAATATTAGACCCAAGTGGCAGTTGGCGAAAAAAAAGATTGTTTCTTTATTCCGCGTTTGGATCCGGGTAACAAGTTTTCTAACTTTCGTATTCTACCCCGCCTCCAGCGTAACATTTACATGGATGTTGAGCTTTCTGTGATGCAGGTGTTAATGCGGGCCGAAAAGCGGGGTCTTATTTTCTCCCTGGTGCCCTGTGGTTTTGCTGTGCATATCCTTGAACTTGGTGCCTAGCAGGTGAACATTGCCTTGCAATGCCTTGACCTATAAGTAAAAAAAAAAAATGTATCTAGCTTTACGCAGTTTGAACCATAGCTGTTTAGTTAGCTTGAAAATGAAACGGATATGAGACAAAGGGGGGATTCGAGGTTCTTGGACGAATGGGATGGACGGATGGACCTGCGCTTGCAGTGAATCGGAAACTTGTTAATACTCTTCCAGTTATTCTGTCCGATGTACATGGAATATGCTTTAGGGTGTTAAGATTTTATGCGAAAAGCATTGCACTCTGGTGTAATGAAAACGGACACGGGTCGAGGCAGTGTAATAATAGTAATATTGAGAGTAGCAATCTTTATTTGCTCTGGTGAGCAGCAGCTTCACAGAAAGACAACAGCCGTCTAATGATGGTGATTATGTGATGGTAGTATAAGCGTGGTGGGAATGACATGATCTTCCGAACGTTGCAAAAAACCTCTCCCTGAGCGTCGTTTGCCCGGTGACTGTGGAGGCAAGTCAGTCATTGAGCTGAGGTGACCTTCGGCAGACCATTGATGGATGATATGAGGAGAGCAAGTCGTCTGCTTCGTGCACTGGAGATGAGACGACGTCAAAAAGACTCCGAGCTCTGATTGGCTGTAATTGAAGGATGGTAAACGAAGCTGCCTCGAGGTCTACCCACTATCCTTCATTGAGAATCCAATCGGAGCTCGGCGTTCTGACGTCACCCATGCAAAAGAAGCAGGCAGACTTGCCCTAATTCTTCCTTCAGTTTTTGTTTCCTTTTATTTTGATCACATCACTCCATCGTTACCACAGCAGGGCAGGTTATGGCCATTTTAGATCCGACTGTGTCCTCCCCAGCATTGGCCTTCGTGGAGGCTCGTCAAGGCAAGTCAAGGCCGCTTCAGTGATTTAGTATCTCGGTAAGACAAGAGAAGGTCAGCAATGGCGAGTGTAATGTGGCGCGCATGCGGTGCGGTTGCTCACTTGAGTCGCTTCAGTGAAGGCAGTGGCAGAGCGGCAGAGCCGCAGTGACTCCAGGATGTAATGAATGAATGAATGTAATTATCGAGATCCATGCACTTCTTGCAGCTGCTACGAGAGGGCTGAGAGCGCGCGTACGCTTTTAGAGTGCCTTCATACACACGCGCGCTTTTGCTTGAGTGGTGCCAACTCCGCCATTTTTCCGCCCAATCGTTTTCTTATGCATTTTGAAGTGCGCGCAATCCGGTGTCACTCAGCTCGAGCGCGTAGCTTTGGCTAATGCATAGACGCCATTTTACCGCCCAAGTCACGCACCGGGTGCGCGAGAGCGTCACGCGCTGGTATATTCAGGCAACAATGAATGTCTTCACCCTGAGACAGACAGACATCTAGGCACCCTAGTACGCTTTCGCTTTCGTCGCTTGCTCTTGTTAGTTTCGGTTTTGCTTCCGTCACTGCTCACTGGAGGCGCTGTATCTGTCGCCATGACGGCCATGACAGCTGGGCTTTGTTTTTCGCAACGTTGGTTTTCGTGAGGTGCGGTTGGCAAGGTCTCTGATCTCTTCGTCGGCTTGGATCTGAGTTACAGCGAGCGAGCTCGGCGTTCCCCGATCTCGTCGTGTCAACGCCGTATCCCCGTTGCTTGCAGTAGAGTGCGCAAGAACGGTGTTTCTTTTTCTGAACCGTACTCATGAGCGCCGTCAAAAACACGAACGTGGCGGCGTCGAACCCGCCGAGCTCGAAGAAGCGCTCCGGCGGGTTCCTGCGGCAGGCCAAGTCCCGCAAGGACCATCCGGCGGACTTGGAGCCCGTGAACGAGGACGAACTGACCAAGAAGGACGCCATAACGCCCGACGACGTCCTCAGACTACAAAAGATCACCGAAAGTGAGTGCCGTCATCTATCGCGACCCCCGAAACTGATCGGTGTCCCGTTATTTCCCACCCTCCGGTCCCTCGGGAACAGCTGTTTTTTTGCTGCTTTGCGTGATGCACCGGTCGTTGCAGCGCCTTTGCTCCGCCGCTCTAGTTTATGTTTCTCTTTTCTTTGTCGTGCTTTCTTGACGAGAACATATTGATCTTATATCGGATTCTCGCCTTGAGCACGAAGCATTTTTTTTTTTTTGCTCTTTTTCCTTTTGTGTTTGGGTGTCGTGAGCCTTGAAGGCTGTGGTGGAAATAGCGCACGCGTCCGCGCTAACGTCCGGATGTCTCCGATTTCGTGGTATGCATGTGAAATCGCAGCCGTCCGCAGTTCTCACGTTCGGCGCACGAACTTTGTACAACATCTCTTCTCACGTTCGGCTCACGAGCTTTGCACAACATCTCATCTCGATTGCGCTGTCCACACCGATATGATGAACCTCTAGTGCACGCGCGGCTAACCTCGTCGCTTCCCAAACGATGCAATTCACCGGTTTAATGTGCGCGTCGGCCTTGGTCGAGTGGGAAGGAAAATGGTGTAGATAACATAGCAAAAGCGCGAAAACGACGCGGAGAAATGAATGGGTAACGAAGCGTGCGTCAGACGCTCAGGATATGCCGTTAGTCGCTATCGTATCACACACATATGCTTCCGTCCTTTCCACGAACGTTCCCCGTATCGAGACACGGAAATGGGAGGCCTTTGACTTGACGTGTTTTGGATCGTTTCTCGCCTGCCTCTTTTATATCGTTTATATTTGTTTCGCTGTGACTGTCGTTCTTCCTTCCACATTTTATTCGGTCCTATTTCTACTGCTTTTATGGCCGTGCAGTGCGGCCGGCGACCTCATTTTCTTTTAGCGAAATAGCCTCCCCATTTAGATAAAAACGCTTCTCTCGTTATTATTAAAATGAATTGCTATTGTGCTTATATTTCCTTTTAGACAACGCGTTGTTTGACGTACAGTACGCGACCTGTGCCGCAGCAGCGGCATACAGGCGACTTCGTATATAACGAAGTGGTGCAAGTAGCGAACAGGATGTTTACACAACGCCGTGTAATAGCGCCGGCGATTGCGCGCAACACGCATGACGCACGTTTCGCTTTCACGTTCAAACGCGTGCTTCTTATTTATTATTTTTGTTTTCTTCTTTTTTGCGACAAGCGCAGCGGGGGAAGCTTTTTTCTAGCGAAATTGCTCTCACTATAATTAATTGAGCGAAGCGCGCGTCCGCGCGTGGGGTTGGCATTGTTTTCGGTGCGAGCGTCGGCCAGCGGGGCACAGTGCCGACTGGCCAAGCGGGTCGAGACGAGAGTGCCCATGTGGGTCATGGCCCACTTTGTGTCGTCGCCTTGGCTTGCCGTCGCGGTGACTAATGTGGCGCGGCAACCTCGTACCCCCATACGTTTCCCCCTGACTGCTGCGGTCAATTTCTTTCCTTGACGAAATGGGTGCGTACACGCGTCACTATGTGAGAAAGGAGATCGCGAGAATCATAATATACCACACAAAACTTGTTTTATTAGTATCGGAGACTACTAAGCCCATAAATAACAACAGATGGGAATATTTTATGGGCATAAAGAGTTCAATATATATATATATATATAAAGCAGAAGTCTTATTTTTTTTATATATATATATATACAGGGTGATCCTGGCTCGATCTAAAATGGACCGTAAAAATCGATGCCTGCACGTAGCAATCTAAACTTTTCGTCAAAGTTGTATTTCACAAGTCGGTTTTTTCCTTGTAAAATCACAAAGCGTAGCACTCTCTGTGTAAAAAAATGGGGCCAAGAAACTTGCCAGGACTATGCCAGACGGCGACGCAGATGATCAAGTCCAGTAGCGGGTGCGTTTGGCCTTCATATTGATAGATGGCGTCGGGAGCAGCGTCCGAAGGTGCAGCCGACCAGCGAAAGAAAGCAGACGACATGCAGACGAAATCCGTTGGCAACAAAAGAGCCCTTGTTATGCAGACACATTTTTTTTTTTTACTTTAGGTTTTGCTTTTATTGTTTGCATTTATTTTTTAACCAAAGGTACATTACAAAAAGATTATGTTCATTTTAGTAAACCACGGTGTTGCGATAAGGAGGTAGCACCATCTTTCAATACGAACGCCAAACACCCCGCTACTGGACTTGGTCGTCTGCTTCACCGCCCGTCGTAGACCCTGTCAAGTTTCTTGGCCCAATTTTATACAGAAAGAGAGCTACGCTTTGTAATTTTACAAGGAATAAACCGACTTGTGAAATACACCTTTGATGGAAATTTTAGATTGCAACGTGCAGGCGTCGACTTTTACAATCCATTTTAGATCGATCGAGCCTGGTGACTTGGGTCACCCTCTATGTATATACTGTAAACGACTTAATGTTCGCGAGGACCTAATTTTCACGAATTTCGTGAATCAATTACTATTCGCAAAAAATAGAACCCGTGAATCATTCCAAAATTTCAGCTTTGCCCTAAACCACGAAATATTGAGCCTGCGAAAAATAAGTGTTTACAGTATATAAAAAGTAAATGTTTTTGCACCTTGTAGACATCTTTTGCTTTACAATAAATAAGTTGAATGGGGAGGAAGCTGATGAACAGAAAATAATAATAATGGCAATAATTAATGACTCTCCTTTGAATTGCGAATTTAGTGCAAATTATGGAGCGACATATGTCATTGCCGTTACAGCCAGTCCATGTATGCTCCTAGCTAGCTTCGGAACACAGTACCAGAATCGTATGGAAAATTTCTTACCTTGGAGTAAAAATATTCTATCCCATTTAAAATTTTCTTTCTGTATGCAGGGGGAGAACCAGCCAGTTACCAGGTTTTGCAAACCAATTTTCCTCCAAAACTAAGTTGCATTGAGAGAACTGATCTCCTATTCGAAATTCAGTCTGGCAACTTGATCACTATCGTCTGGGAGTATGGTTAAAGGGACACTGACAGGGTATTTATGCTCGCCGAGGTTGTTAGTTGTACGTGACATATGAGGGCTCAACTACCCAGAACAGAATTTGCGGCTCGAAATTCGGTTTCTTTCCGCCCGAAAACCGCCGATCAAGAATTGGCCGGTTCGAGTCTCGCTCACTCTCTTTTCTGTGGTCACGGGCCGCTTTCTAAGGTATCGATGCGACCACCAAATTTAATCAAAGTCGTGGGTCACTGAAGGCACACACTCAATATTAAAAATAGAAAAAAAGTATGAAACCCATTTTTTGGGGCTTCTAAAAAGTTGTAAATACGTTGATTGAAAAAAAAAGTTCCACAGACAACCGGAAGCATTCTGTGCGTTCGTCGTTTCGCGTATCGTGGGACTCGCGGGGACGGCGATGGCAGCGGACGACGGGCGTAGGACCTCTATTTCAGAACTGTCGTTCGCGGTACCGGCGAATTCTGTCTACCGTTAAAAGAGAAATTTGGGACTGATCAAAAGAATTGGTATTCATCCCGTACGACACGCCCGGCCACCAAGCCGATTTGCACGAAGACGTCGCCGAGCCGTCGCTCCCTTCTCGTGGCTGAAGACAACGCTCGCGCAAACGTCAAGCACGACGTGTCTACTTCGAGTTGAATATGCACGCGTACGATTTCTTTACTAGGTGCGAATGTCCCCAAAGCGTGGTGCTTCCCGACTTCGACCCGGGAGTGCTTTTGCTAGAGAAAAATCGACAGCAAACTTTCAAACTTACAGTTTACCGGCTGAATTATTACTAAGGAAAGAGATCCACCGGAAACGAGATGCCCCAGTAGCTCAGTGGGAAAGACGTCCACTTCACACGCCGTAGGACCGGGTTCGATCCCCCGCGAGTTTTTTTTTTTTTTTTTGCAAACAATTTTCGATGTTTACATATATTTTTCTTTTTTTTACAATCAGCACTGAAGAAACAAACAAAAAAATAACAAACAAATGTTGTGGACGATACTTCGCTGAATTAAACGGTATGGCATTTCCGTTTTGACACCTGCGAACTCAATGTAATCACTTTCCACAAAATGCAAGGAGCATATAAATCAGGTAGCGTCCGCTTTCCGAGGTGCCCGTAAATAGGGAGTTTTCGTAGATCGTCTTCGCCGTCCCGCAAGGCCCTCCGCAACCCGCTACGATAGCGGGAACTCCACAGTCAAGGCTATCGGCGCGCAGGCGCAGTAGCAACTTCTTCGTTGCGGAACGCTTAGCGGAGGGGTCAGCGCGGTCTACGAAAACTCCCTAATGTTCTACAGGAATTGCAGCCAGCCATTGGTCCCGATCCCGTTGATCTTTCGACAATGCCACTTTTTTTCGGATGCAGGACATGTGAGCCAGCTCTTCACGCAACATCTTGGGTTTATTCTTTTCGGAGCCGTTCATGGAAATTCACCACGGTCACTCACTACTCATCTCTAACTCCTCAATGTACAAAACAACTCATCTTGGAGTACATAACAACGAGCGGAACAAACATAACTGCAAAAGAATCGCACGGCAAGCAGTTCCCGCACGCCGCATCGCACGCCGCATGTCCTGTCGTCTGCTACCGGAAAGGAGAAAAAAAAAAACAAAAAAAAACGCACGGTCGGGTGAAGCCACGTGACTTCCGCCAGTCACTCTCTTCTCTCCACTTCTCCGACCTCCGTCGGGTTTCGGTTTCGGTTTCGAGCAGTTGCGTCTTTTGGCTTTATTAAAGAAATACGCTACTGTGTTGCAAAATATTAATTGGGTAGTCCTCAGACACCATAATGAAGCGCCTGGCAAAAAATAAAAAAATTTTTTTGGGGGGTGTCAGTGTCCCTTTAAGTGAGGGAAGAAAGTATCTAATAGCGAGTTCGTTTCACGGCATTCGTGCCCACGCGTGCCCACTCACAGCGTGGAACGGGTTCGTTTCGGCCGGCGCTCCACGAGTGGTTGCACTTTCCGAGTTCGTTTCAGCGCTGACACCCCACGCGTGCATGCACTCGCTGCACCGAGAAAATCG